TATGGAACCTTGTGGTACTATGTCAGAGAGATCCATACACTTACACACAAGTTATTGTCATGAAACTAGAAAAATGCTTGTTTTTTGCCCCTTTTTGGCCCCTAATTCCTAAAATTTAGAGGCAATTACCCCCGAAATCAATCCCAGCATTCCCTTTGTGATATGGAACCTTGTGGTACAATGTCAGAGAGATCCATACACTTACACACAAGTTATGTCTGGAAGTTACAAAAATGCTTATTTTTGGCCCCTAATTCCTTAACTATTGGTACCATAACCCCCAAAATCAACCCCCACCTTCCTTTAGTGGTATTGAACCTTATGGAAAATTTTATAGAGATCCATTCACTTAAACTAAAATAAGAGTGCGCAAAACTAATGTGTCTTCGGACGACGACGACGACGCCAACGTCATACCAATATACGACCACAAATTTTTTTTTGCGGTCGTATAAAAACTTAATATTGACCAATGAACAGATATAACAATGAAAACTGAACATTGACTAATGAACAGATATAACCATGATAACTGAACATTAACCAAGGATCACAGACATAACCATGAAAACTAAACATTGACCAATGAACAGACATAACCATGAAAACTGAACTTTGACTTATGAACAGACATAAACATGAAAACTTAACATTGACCAATGAACAGACATAACCATGAAAACCTAACATTGACCAAGGATCACAGACATAACCATGAAAACTGAACATTGACCAGTGAACAGACATAACCATGAAAACTTACAATGACCAATGAACAGACATAACAATGAAAACATAACATTGACCAAGGATCACAGACATAACCATGAAAACTTAACATTGACCAGTGAACAGACATAACCATGAAAACTTACAATGACCAATGAACAGACATAACAATGAAAACTTAACATTGACCAAGGATCACAGACATAACCATGAAAACTTAACATTGACCAAGGACCACAGACATAACCATGAAAACTAAATATTGACCAAGGATCACAGACATAAGCATGAAAAGTTAATATTGACCAAGGACCACAGACATAACCATGAAATCTTAATATTGACCAATGAACAGACATAACCATGAAAACTTAACATTGACCAAGGATCACTGACATAACCATGAAAACCTAACATTGACCAAGGATCACAGACATAACCATGAAATCTAAACATTGACCAATGAACAGACATAACCATGAAAACTTAACATTGACCAAGGATCACAGACATAACCATGCAAACTGAACATTGACCAAGGATCACAGACATAACCATGAAAACCTAACTTTGACCAAGGATCACAGACATAACCATGAAAACTTAACATTGACCAATGAACAGACATAACCATGAAAACTTAACATTGACCAGGGATCACAGATATAACCATGAAAACCTAATACTGACCAGTGAACAGACATAACCATGAAAACTTTACAGTGACCAAGGATCACAGGCATAACCATGAAAACTGAACAGTGACTAAGGATCACAGACATAACCATGAAATCTTAACATTGACCAATGAACAGACATAACCATGAAAACTGAACATTGACCAATGAACAGACATAACCATGAAAACTTAATATTGACCAAGGAGCACAGACATAACAATGAAAACTAAATATTGATCATTGATCACAGACATAACCATAAAAACTTAATATTGACCAATGAACAAATATAACCATGAAAACTGAACATTGACCAATGAACAGACATAACCATGAACAATTGATATTGATCAATGATCACAGACATAACAATGAAAACTTAACATTGACCAATGAACAGATATAACCATGATAACTGAACATTGACCAAGGATCAGACATAACCATGAAAACTAAACATTGACCAATGAACAGACATAACCATGAAAACTGAACATTGACCAATGAACAGACATAACCATGAAAACTTAATATTGACCAAGGACCACAGACATAACAATGAAAACTAAATATTGACCATTGATCACAGACATAACCATAAAACCTTAATATTGACCAATAAACAGATATAACCATGAAAACTGAACATTGACCAATGAACAGACATAACCATGAAAAATTAATATTGATCAATGATCACAGACATAACAATGAAAACTTAACATTGACCAATGAACAGATATAACCATGATAACTGAACATTGACCAAGGATCACAGACATAACCATGAAAACTAAACATTGACCAATGAACAGACATAACCATGAAAACTTAACATTGACCAATGAACAAACTTAATATTGATTAATGAATCACAGGTTGTCTGAAAAAAAATTAGCTATACACTTTGTTATACTTTTTTCAGAGAGAAGACTGTCTGCAATGAACCATGATATTGATAAAGGTAAGAAGAGACCTGCAAAACAGAAATGTACATTGTCCAACCATTCCATACACCAAATGCAGCTGATTAATTGCTTATTGTATTGCAGAACGCGTCACAGCATTGACCAATTAACGATGAAAATGTTGCAAATATCAAATTAATCTGCCAAACAGACAAGAGCACCTTGCATTCATTCCATAGATACACCAAATATATATTATAGTATCTTACATACAGACTTGATGATGGATGGCTGTTTAATGTCCAGCAGCAAATAATATCAGGGGCGGATCCAGGATTTTAGGTTAGGGGGCTGCAAACTTAAAATTTGTTTGAGGTGAAATTATAGAAATATTCTAAATTTAGCTGAGGACAACCCATGCTTTGCAAATTTTAGGGGGGCGCACAACCGCATATTCAGGACAAGAACATGCTAATGTAATTTGAATATTAACCCTACTTTGTACTAGACACGCTAAATCAAATTTTTAATGTGCTAGTTCACCAGGTAACTGTCCGCAGGAAGACATGTCACCTTACCCTGACACATTATTACGACTCTGAACCGACCAGTATTTGCTCTTACTCCTTAATGCTTTGTGCTTACCTGAAAAAGCAGCAAATACCAATTTTACTCAAGTCTTTAGTTTAACAGGTCCTGGGTTCCACATGTAGACCTTGTATGGATCCAATATACCAAATATAGTTATCCTGTTACTCATAAGTCATGATTTTACATGACAATTCTTTTTAAAGCAGTGGCTACACCATGAATATGTGGTCAACAATGGACATATGACAGATGGTAACTTCTTAAAATAAAGCATCTGCATATAAGGTATGTAGCATCCAATTAGTCTACATTCTGGAAAATGAAAGTTTATGCCGCTGCTGGATATATAGTTATCCCTTGGTCTCTCATTCTGCACTGGCATGTAATAAAAAAACTTCCATTAATGAGAATAACATGAAGATAAATATGTTCAACATGCAACATGTTGAAATGAACAACTGCAAACAAAAACAGCCAACATTATTCAGTAAATTAAGGCAAAAGAGACACAAATAAGCACGATTTATTTTTGAACTCAATTTTGATCAATGAACCATAAAGTGAGGTCAAACACAAAATAAAGCCTTCCGACAGTTAAACCATATGATCATGCCATACACCAATTCCTTTTACTATCTAGGAAACAACCAAATTTCCCCAGTGAACCAAGAAAATGAGGTAGACAGACATATGTTATATATGAACACCATATAATCAGGCTATAAACCAAATAAAGTAAACAGATTGCTTATAGTGTCCGAGGAACAATCATAACCACTACAATAAGCATGGACTGATGAACCATGAAAATGAAGGTTAATGTCAGAAGAAATCTAACAGACATGTTCATCTACTGCTTTAAATTATCTGAAAAATGGCCCAAATGAAGTAAAGGTTTTTTAACCACCCTCTTTCCTTGCTTTTAACAAATAAGGCTTACTGTTTGTGCCATGTATGTGCATATTATGTATGGAAACAGCATCTTTCATGGCTTTTTCCAATAGTTAAAATAATGAAATATAATCTCTTTTTGGTGCAACCATGTAAAAAATCTGTATTTATTCAATAAAAAATATTGCATAAACTGTTGACACAGAGAAATATCTCGCCTGTTTGTAATTTTAATTAAAATGAAAATATTGAATCCAATTGGCAATATTTAAACATGTCAACTATGCAAAACATTCCAAGTCAATGAACCATGACTTAAGGTGCAGAACCAAATAACCTCTATGGAAATGAGATGTGTCAATGCTAATACAACTGCATACCAACATCATTGACCTTCTACTAGTGGTTCCCCATAAACTGAACTAATCACTAACTACTGTGTATTTATTTATATTCGTGGGTATCAATTTTCGTGGATTGAGGAAAACTTGCATTTTTATGGATATTTAATTTTGTAGTTTTGCCAAAGTCAGCATACAAGCCTATAGAAAATTTATAATTTCATGAACATTTAAATTCGTGGTTCACCTGTTCCCACAAAAATCAATGAATAATGATAAATCCATAGTAATATATTGTCGACGCAGATGAAAACAGCTTACATATGTCTCTTTTTGACTCCCGTCAAGGCGAGACAAAACTGGACTACCAACTGTCAAGCCAGGTCAGTTCATGTAGGGCAGCTTTGAAATAGTATGGAGGGCCATCTAGGGGTGGGGGGTTGAATGGCTGCTGAAATCACAACTACAGCTATGATTGAGTTAACAATGATAAAACTGGCAAGCAAATCAAAACATTTACAAGTATAATAGCTATTTACTGGTCCTAGTGTCTAGTATAGGTATTTTAAACTGTTAGATACACATCAGGAATTTACCAACATCTCAAAAGAAAGAGAAATTACTTCATGCAGTTCCATATTTGGATTCATTTTCCTCATGAGAGCAGAAATCTGTTTCATCAATAATTGATTCTCGTCTATGTAATTCATGTATCCCTATCACATCCATAATACGAAGACTTTTTGGCATTCTAGATCATTGAATACTGATCAGGGGACTTGATTATAAACATTTTAACTAAATACCACTTGTATTTATCACATGCTAGGGTTATTCTTGTGCATATAAACAAAAAAAACTTGTTTCCAGAATTTATATTTGGACCTGAAATATTCATCAATATCATGCTATCAGTTTACAGAAATACTTCAAAATGCACATTTGTTTTGTGAGCATAAAAGCACATTCCACATTGGAGTTAATTACACTTTAAATAAAATTTGCTTTTCAACCCATGATGCAGCAATATTCAAAAAAGCTATTTTAATTTTGAACAACCTGGATTTCTTTCTGTTTATGGTTGCTATATTCAGTATTGCAGTAAGTTAACTATATAAAACCATAAAACATAGGTTTGTCGATACATGATTAAGTAATGGTTTGTACATTTCAAAATGACCAACAATACATAACAATACTTCTAATGCCTTTGGCAGATTGTAAGCACCCGTTGGTAAGTTGTTATCTTTAGAATTCTCCATTTACTTTAAATTTATTCTGAAGAATAACTTTTTAAGCCCTAGTTTAAATAACATGACCCTTACATTTTCAAAAAATACTGCAGGTCTATTCTTGAAGGTGAGTTCCTTTGGAATCTGTGCGTTTAGATTCCTGTACTCGAAGCACTATGCTCTTTCAAAATTAACAGAAGATTATTGTTAAGTTAGTGTTCTCTGGTAAAATTTCAAAGAAAGGTTAAACTTTCCATTTTTTTTACCCTTGTACTTAATATTTAAGAAAAAAAAAAAACACAAAAAAACAACAGGACATCACTATCTAGATGTTTCTTGCATTAGTTTTGTCATTTAGAAAATTCTAAATGCACATCCCATAATATCTTAATGAAATCATGATTATGACCAAAAATGTATATTTTGAATTATGAAGCAAAAAATATTTATTAGCAGTGTAAATCCTGCTTAACATTAGACAATCATCCAAAAACCATTCAAAACATGCTTGAAGTTTCATTGGTCAAGCTGGTTTAACAACTAAGACAAAGTTTTATTTTAATGACTAAATAAAAAGAAAATTTCCTGATTTAATAAATCTAATGCAAAGTTTCTTATTAACTATGTACAAGAGAGACAGAAGATACATATTTTCAGCCTCAAAACTGGATTAAGAAAAATTAATATTTTTGATACAATTTCTCAAAAGTCGATTTTTTCTGTTACTTTATTATTTTTTTACACTTGTATTGAATTAAGAACGATTCGGATCGTCTATTTCTTATAAAAAGTATCATAACTATTCATTACCATTCATAAAATCAGATACTATATTGAGTTGGAAGTCAAAATAGAAACAGGATAAATATCTACTGCAACCATACATGATATATGATATATATACTGCATATTAGTAAAAAATTCTTGTTGTTCGGTAAGATTTTGAAGATATTCCATAAACCAATCACATGATCTCGGAGAACTTCCATCACACAACATGATGAATGGACTTTTCACAATGTATACTAAAATGAACTAAAACATTTTGTAAAAATGTAAACCATCATAATTTAATGGACACAATGATTGTTTGGTCTCTGTAGTCTCTTTAATGTGATATGACAGATGATAACGACTGGTGGGTGATGAATGACAAAATGACAACAACTACATTTGGAACACCTCATCCTTCATCCTCTCCCTCATCTTCACCACCTTCATCATCTTCACCATCCTGTAAAAAAAACCAACACTTTTGTCAAGAAACATATTTTATTTCTTATAAGAACTTTATTTTATTATTTGGAAACTGTTTGCATCAGACTACATGTTTAACCCCATCACATTCTGTATGTACCTGTCTTCAAGTCAGGAGCATGTAATTCAGTAGTTGTTTGTGGCTGTACATGTATATCATATTTTTTTTGGGTTTAAATTGTTCGACATTTGTCATTTTGGGCCCTTTTAAAGGTTGTTATGCGGTATGGGTTTTGCTCATTGTTGAAGGCCATACGGTGACATTAGTTGGTAGCTTCTATGCTATTTGTCTGTGGTTGAGAGTTGTCTCATTGGCAATCATACTATATCTTCGTATTCTTATATAAATAATTTCAGGTATCCATTAAGAAATATGTTTGTGTGCGAAGGTCATGATGAATATGGTTATCCCAATCTAAAGTATATCAAGAAATACAACTTCTGTTTAAATCATATATACTATGAGGTGACTTTTAAATTTGAGATCTTGAACTGAATGAACTATTGAACATTATAATGTTGCTTTTCTTCATAAAATTCCACTTATATTTAACTAAACTGTTCACTAAACGAACTATTGAACATTAAAATGTTGCTTTTCTTCATAATATTTCACTTATATTTAACTAAACTGTTCACCAAGTTTTGATTTCAGAAATTTGAATATTTGCAGAAGTTCCTTTTAAATATAACTCACATCATCTTCTCCCTCAAAGTCTTCTTCATCTCCCTCCTCTTCATCCATTAATCCTTCTTCATCCAAATCATCGTCTGAAATCAAATGTATGTACTGTATCAGTATCTATGGTTGAATTTCACATTCCGAAACAAAAAGCAATGCTACACAATACAAAAACAGCCTGAACAAAACAGCAACATCGGTGAAAGTAACAAAAATTTGAAATCACGAGAAAAAAAAAAAAATATCAATGTTTGTAAATATGTTGGGGCAATAAAATAAGTCTGAAAATTTGATAAACTTCTAAAAACTTTCATGCATGCAGTTATTACAATTGTGAGACTTTATGTATGAAACTTTTGCTTTTTTGGCGTTCACAATCCACATTCATTTTTTTTGACACAAACTGGAGACTTGAGATATCAATAACATGAATAACATTAAGAAGTGTGAAAATTTAAACAAACCCTCTTAAAGTATGCCCTAATCGTCTGCGATTAACATCCTCTAATTCATCACATGAACAGACACAAGTCTATGAATTAAAACACAATACAATTTCCAATAGGATTATTGTAGCTTTGTGCTACTTAGCTCTCCAATTAGATGAATAAGTGGAAAATATGTAACGGAAAAAATTTAAGGATAAAACAGAACTTCCTATTTAAACACTGTACTTACCACCACCGTCTTCCTCTATTTCTGATGCCTGTAAGACAAAATAACATTTGTTTACAATCAATTGTCATTGTTACTATTATAATCATTTCATTTCACAGACATGTTTTTGTAAGGACGATTTTGTTTTGTTTTTTTACTTTGAATTTTGAATGTTCCTTCGGTATCTTCTGACCTTTTTTTGGTACTGTGGAATGTCAAAGAATTTGTGATAAAAGAAAATCACTGGAGAAAATTTATTCTCTTGTTCATTGTAGTTTTTACTATCAATGACGAGAGTGACTTGCTTTTTAATAATATAATTAAACAAATCTTGATGCAACATTATATAGTATTTAATTGTAGGTCACTTTAATAGTACATGTACCATCTTGGCTAGCCAAGGGTTACGATCCAGTCCCCTCATCTCCACCCTTGGCGGATTAAGGTAGAATTTCAGATCCATGAGGTACTGATTTCCATTGGTCGCAGTTGTAACTGGCTGCATCCAATCAAAAAGCGCCTTTAAAGTGATCATGTGTAAATGTAGATAAATTGCCATGTGTTGATTGTGCATCAAGTATTTACCCCCAAAACATAGGACGATATTCAGTGATAATTTTAAGGTTCGAAATCAAGTAGTTGAAAATCCTGGGCATGTTTCTCAAGTAAATGTTGGAATGTTAATGATTATTTTCAATTCCTGCTTCAAGAAATTTGTAAACACTAGACACAACCATTTTACACCTCCACTCTGAAGAGAGTTCAAGTGCTGCCATTGGTCAAGAATGATGTAGTTGGAATGGGCATGACTTTTTATCTACACACAGATGGCACAGCATTGTAATCGCAAATGTTGGCTTAATCTGCCAAGGGTGAAGAGGAGGGGACTGGATCGTAACCCTTGCCTAGCGAAGATGTACATGTATCTCTTGCTGGACTTTGATCTTAGCCCTTAAAATGTATCAGCCAGAGATAACAATAAATTATGGATTTTGAAACAATCAACTAAATTGTAATGAAACAAAAGCAAGACCCTTCCCAGGAACATATGCAATTCTGCACATCTAATTGTTCAGATGTGTTAATAAAAGTTTTTGAAAGACAGCTCCCTCAAATTTGAAGTCAAATATGAACGTCACAAGAAGCATATAGTTCTTTCTGAGAAATAAAGAATTTTAAAACTACTACAAACTTTACTTTAAAAGCAAATAAAATGCTTCGCTGGGGCGCAGCTTGATACGACCGCAGAGGTCAACCCTGAACAGTTGGGGCAAGTATGGACACAACATTCAAGCTTGATACAGCTCTGAATTTGGATTGTTATTAAATATTTGACACAGCATAGGTTTCTGACACAGAAAGAATGTGGTCTAAGAACTTGAATTTTTTTAATTTACCTATTATGGTCCAATGTCCAAAATCAAAATACATGGTTAGATTCAGCATATCAAAGAACCCCATATATTCCATTTTTGTTAAAATCAAACAAAGTTTAATTTTGGACCCCAACTTGGACAAACTTGAAAACTGGGCCCATAATCAAAAATCTAAACACATGTTTAGATTCAGCATATCAAAGAACCCCAAGAATTCAATTTTTGCTAAAATCAAACTAAGTTTAATTTTGGACCCTTTGGACCTTAATGTAGACCAATTTAAAAAACGGGACTTAAAATTAAAAATCTAAATACACGGTTAGATTTGGAATATCAAAGAACCCCAATAATTCAATTTTTGATGAAATCAAACAAAGTTGAATTTTGGACCCTTTTGACCTCAATATGAACCAATTTGATAGCGGGGCCCACAAATAAAAAATCTAAATTCATGGTTAGATTCAGCATATCAAAGAACCCCATATATTCAATTTTTGTTGAAATCAAAAAAAGTTTAATTTTGGACCCCAACTTGGACCAACTTGAAAACTGGGCCCATAATCAAAAATCTAAACACATGTTTAGATTCAGCATATCAAAGAACCCCAAGAATTCAATTTTTGTTAAAATCAAACTAAGTTTAATTTTGGACCCTTTTGACCTCAATATGAACCAATTTGATAGCGGGGCCTACAAATAAAAAATCTAAATACATGGTTAGATTCAGCATATCAAAGAACCTCATATATTCAATTTTTGTTGAAATCAAACAAAGTTTAATTTTGGACCCCAATTTGGACCAACTTGAAAACTGGGCCCATAATCAAAAATCTAAATACATGTTTAGATTCAGCATATCAAAGAACCCCATATATTCAATTTTTGTTGAAATCAAACAAAGTTTAAATACTGGACCCTATCTTGGACCAACTTGAAAACTGGGCCCATAATCAAAAATCTAAACACATGTTTAGATTCAGCAAATCAAAGAACCCCAAGAATTCAATTTTTGTCAAAATCAAACTAAGTTTAATTTTGGACCCTTTGGACCTCAATGTAGACCAATTTAAAAAACAGGACCCAAAATTAAAAACCTAAATACACGGTTAGATTTGGAATATCAAAGAACCCCAATAATTCAATTTTAGATGAAATCAAACAAAGTTTAATTTTGGACCCTTTTGACCTCAATATGAACCAATTAGATAACGGGGTCCACAAATAAAAAATCTAAATACATGGTTAGATTCAGCATATCAAAGAACCCCATATATTCAATTTTTGTTGAAATCAAACAAAGTTTAATTTTGGACCCCAATTTGGACCAACTTGACAACTGGGCCAAAAATCAAAAATCTAAATACATGTTTAGATTCAGCATATCAAAGAACCTCATATATTCAATTTTTGCTAAAATAAAACAAAGTTTAATTTTGGACCCTTTGGACATTAATGTAGACCAATTTGAAAACTGGACCCAAAATTAAAAATCTAAATACACTGTTAGATTCGGCATAACAAATAAATAAATGTGATCAAAGATTTTACAAATCTAATGCGCCATACTGTGCAATTAAAGATTACTTCTTGAAATTTTTCAATATTTGAAATTTGAAAAAAAAATAATGTTTGAAGAATAATTCTTTTTAATTTCTGAAATCTGAAATGAGAAAAAAATTGGCCCCCCACAATTTCTTTTTATCCCCCCCCCCTTTTTCCCCCAAAAAAATTCTTTCCCTCAAGATATGGTCATAATCTCAATTCAAATTTCCAATGGAGTTGGCAACCATAATTACCCATTTAAATTTACCATAGTGCTAACTTAATCTATTTTATAATAGAATTAATAAAAATATAGTGTCAAATCTTTCATATGGATTTTTTTGTAAAAAAAAAGATGAAAACATTTGCAGATATTTTTACTGGTCTTCCTTTATAAATATGCATTTCTTTAAACATAATTTAAAAGCAGTGTAAGGGAAGTAACCAAAACATTGTATTTGGATTACCTCCCTTACACTGTTTTAGATTATCTTTATTGTTCATTAACCATTACTTTATACATAATTTAAAAGCAGTGTAAGGGAGATAATTTCAATGATGTATTTGATTTATCTCCCTTACACTGCTTTAAATTATGTTTTGTACTAAAGTATTTGTCCATTAACCAGGACAACCTTGTTTTTCCCCCTTTTTTGCCCCTAATTCCTAAACGGTTTGAGCCATAACCCCCCAAAGCAAATCCTAACCATCCCTTTGTGGTATGGAAACTTGTAGTATAATTTCAGAGAGATCCATACACCGTTCCACAGTTATTGTCTGGAAACTAGAAAATGCTCATTTTTGGCCCCTTTTTGGCCCCTAATTCCTTAACTGTTGGTACCATAACCCCCAAAATCAATCCCAACCTTCCTTTTGTGGTATTTAACCTTATGGTCAAATTTCAAAAAGATCCATTCACTTAAACTAAAGTTAGAGTGCGAAAACCAATATGTATTCGGACGACGACGCCGGACGACGACGACGACGACGCCAACGTCATACCAATATACGACCACAAAATTTTTTTGCGGTCGTATAAAAAGAGGTTCCTGTCTGAGGGCTGCTTACAGTCTAATCCCAATTGTCATCGTGAAGACTAAAACATACACTGATGCACCAAAAATTCAGTTGCTGAAGTACAGCCATCACCAAGTTAATCTGACAAACACTTTCTTAAAGAAAAGCATCCCCCTTAAGTTCAGTCAACCAGAACAAAATGCAACCATGATATGTGTCAATTTTCTACAATAGTATATCAAAATTGATATCAATATTCTCACATATAAGAAAGTCTGGAAATCTATTAGATTTCAGAAAGGCAGACCTGTGTAACACTATAAAAAGTGACAAGGGCATAACAAATTCCTTCATATAACTATAATGTCCCTGATGGGAGAGAGAGGTGAAAGTACTTACCAAATAGTATTGTAATGGATTAGGCCAGATATCATCTTTGATAACTTCCCCTAATTCATCAGCACCAGCATCGCCATGATCACTAAACCAACAGAAAAATGATTCTTGTTCTTCTAAATTTCTTTTTCTGCCACCTTTACTTGGTGTACTTGATTTCTTTGTGAGATCCTGAAAAAACAAGCAATTTGTGTAATTTTATACTTCGTTAAAGCTTTAATACAAGATTTCAAGCTTAACTTTTGTAATCATATGGATGATTACAGTGCCTGAAATATTGGCTGTATAAAACATATCCTTCATAAACTTTTATCAGCAATATCTTTATTGAAGCTTGTTTTTCTCAAAACACAATTCAATTTTAAGGCTTTGAAAGGGAATTTTTGTACCTCTAACCTAATTTACAATGACACCTCAGTTGACCCATTTTCCAAACCCTAGTGAGTTTCAAGTCATAAAAGAGCCTGAGTATTTGCCACTATATATGTCAACTGGCAACAATAGATCAGCATTGGCACACACAGGTTGCCAACAAGTTGAACTGATACAACGCTATAAATATTCGGTAGAATTCATGAGCGAAGAATCTGAGGGCTTTTCCAGAAATAAATGTATGGGGGAGGAGTTGGAAGGCACTGTTTATTTAACCCAGCCATGCATAAAATTTTGATTATTTCATATAATTGTTATAAATGCCATAGATCTGTCTAAAATAACCATAACCCATCAAATTTTAATAAGAGTGCATTCCAACCCCCCACATTCAATTAATTCCCCAAAAGCCCAATACAAACAGAATATTATTTTACCTTTCCAGCTTTCCATTTTATTGGAGTTGATTTCGATGAAGGTTCTCCTGTGTCATTTAAATGGAACTCTTTTGATATTACTTCATTTTCAAAGTACTGATTACTGTCAAAGTGCTACAAAATATTTAAATTCATAAGTATTGCAATGCTCAAAATTACATATCAACACATTTAAATGTCTACTTTTTAGAATATAAATAAATATCAACATAATATGTTCTTTATTCCTTTGCATGTTACTCGTTTTTCTTTCTTTCTTCAGAAATTTTAACAAGTGTTTGATCGTGAATTCAACACCATTTTTTGTTCAGAATATCAGGTTTTACAGAATTTATTTGGACTAACTTTAGGTTTTACAGAACACCTAAGGGAAATAATTCTTTAAACATCGACTGAATGTTTAAATCATACTATTAGTAATGAGAATCAAGCTTCTCGACGATCAAAATTAGTGCTTGTCAAATGGCTATATATCCAATGAAATTATTTCTGTAAATCATGTGGTTAAAATTTCTTGATTTTTTCATATTTTTGTCAACAGGTTAAAGTAAACATTGTCAAAATTTTATGAAAATTAAAAGAGCCAAATAAGAATATGATGAAAGTATTAGTTAATTCAATTATCAGCATGATCAGTAGTAATTTATTGCAGGCATCAACACTGTTAAGAATTATGGTACATTGTATAATGAGTTACATCTGAATTTATAACTTTTTATACAATTTAAATTTTATCCTGTGTAGACAGAATATTTTGTGTTATGTTAATATAAATGAACATTTTTAGTCAGAAATAAAGATAACATTAACTTATTTAATCTAGAGGATTACATGTATATTTCAATGAGTAACCTTTGTACTCGCTACATATACTTACAAAGTTAATTTTGTAACCTGACTTTATATCTTCAAATTCTTGTACTTCTACTTTGGTTAAAAACTGTAGTGCTTCCTCATCCTCTTCATTCAGCAGTGCTGAAACTTGGGGATGATTTACAAACTATTGAGGGTTAAGGAAATAAGATAGATATTTAGTTTAAAATCAACATACACAATGTAGAGGCTCCAAAGAGTATGTACTATTTACCTGGCGCCTTTCTGTTGATGGAAGGGCCCTCGGTGGACGAGTTGTCTAAATAGTCGAACTACTGTATCAACAGTCTGTCAACACTGAGGTTGCAAGTTCAAATCCTGCACGAACAGGTGTGCTTGACTTTAATCTTAATTGACTAGGATTGTCAGTTTTCCATCCGAAGGTCATGGTTCTCTCCGGCTTCCTCCACCAATAAAAACTTACCGCCACGAAATAACACAATAGTGCTGAAAGTGGCTTTAAACACCAACCAATCAATGATGGAAGGTAAACATACATTGATCAGCTGGACTATTTTTTGTTTCTGTTTTGGGAACTCTTATGAGGAAATTTGAAGGCAATGAAAAGTCTTTATGGTTTGGAACATGTTTTAATGTAAATAAAGAACTATTGAACCAACACCTCCTAAATTAACAGCAATTATTATACCTCAGTTATCATTTTTCTATATAAAATAAGTACACAATATTTTGACTATTTTTTAAATTGCAAGCGTTGAACTATTTGACCGGTCAATAGTTTCCAACTATTGGACCTCAATGAAACTATTTGACCGCAAGTGTCATTATATTTCGTGGAATTTCAAATGCTGCTATTGGATTGGAGGATGTTGAGAATATAGCGACGTCGCATTTTACCTATCGTATCTAGGGTTGACGTCAGTGCAGGACGTAGCCTTAGCATTCAGAATATATATGAAGTAAACGTTAAACAGTATGGTTGTGTTTCTGCTTTTTATGTTATGATAGTTGATTTAGCCCCGATATTTATTGTCTGTTGTCTCTTTCTGTTTAATAAAACACTTACTGACTGGATATTCGCAATAAACTTACTTTCCCACTTATTCCCAGTCAATGAGTATAAACTATTTTAACTTTTATTGGTCAACATGTTTTGGCGATTAGATCAGCCTCCTCAAAACCTTTTGTTTTAATTTGATGTCAGGGCTCACACTAGCAGGCGACTTGGACGAAAAAGTTGCTTTCCCGTCCGTCACTTCGCTTTGCCCGACCGCCAAAAGCGATATCTAGTCGCCCTGGTGTTCCCAATAGTCATCGGCAATCTCCCATTTTTACCAAGTCAATGAAACAGCATATTTTTCATTTAAAAGTGAAGAAATTCAAAGACATAAACGATTTATTTCTTTAGAAATATTGAAATAATTGTACGAACCGCAGATCGTAAGCTGACCAGCTATGACCGAAGTCCATATTGTTACTATAATAACTACAAACGCCTGAATTGAACAGCTGACAAAAGAATAATGACATCAAAAGTGAAAATTACGCATTCCTCATGTAATAACAGACTTTTGGTTAGATCTCCTTGCTAAATTTATATATTTCCATGTAAATACATTGTTTCCATTTATTGATTTAAGTTGCTTAACTTGGTTAAACTTATATATCTTTTTAATGAGAAACAATGAATTTCATTAAGATGATAAACAGCATAGTTTTTTACTTGCATTTTAATTGATATATGATACTTTCTTATCCTTTTTGATATAAAAAGTTCTTTGTAGTGCTAGATATTTAGTTGGTAGATTCTGACAAGAGGACTAATATAATTGTGCAACTATAAATGACTATTTAAGACATAAACTGAAACAACTGTTACTTTAATTGACTCAGGTATGAATTGCACACCTATACAAAAAAAAAGGATACATATGGCCCTTTATATTATAGTAAAAACCAAACATTGTAGCGCCACGAGCGAAAGAGCACTTCTCTTACAAATCCCACCACTTCTCCCTACCAGTTTCAAAAAGAGAAGTCACTTCTCCCTATGATTTTGAAGTAGTGTGAGCCCTGTTGATGTACAATATAAATTTTATGATGTATTAATATAAATATTTTGAAGGATACAGCTGTCACCCAGAAATTTGGAATTTTTGCAATGAGGTCAGATCTCTTCTGAAAGTATGGTTGTCGTAGTTTATTGTACTTTTGTTCTACTTTAAGAATCTCTTCACTGGCTTGTTCATTCAATCTGTCTATTTCATTCTGTACTTCATCTATCTGCTCAATAGCTTCTTGCTGTTCTTTGTCTACAATAGTAAAAACAAAGAATAAACCAAGGATATATATACATGTGCACATACTAGATGAACTTTCATCAGAACAAAAAACCCATGCAATAGAGTTTGTTCTGCACTGCCTCACACCTGTATTTTTTTCCAAATGTCTGCCCTATTAACTTTCCATGGTATGTGATATATGTCTACCATGATTGTTACATGTTTTTGACGATGGAGAGGGAGCATGAGAAACAACTACCACATCTATTCAACAATTTTGTTGTAATGAATATTAAAAAAGACTTAAGACCAATAGGCAATTGAACTTTCATCTAACAAAAATAAAACCATGCAATGGAATTCTTAATTTTTTTGTATGAATAGAACGATGGACTGAGATTGTTCTTATATACATTGATCCTGTGACTACTAGATTTTATGGAGTTCTGTAATTAGTAGTCCTTTGAACTACCTGAAAATTTGTAAAAAGCTACATTAATACTTCATGTACTGCAAATAAATTTATTTTTTCGTTTCAGCAAAAATTGTGGGGAAATTCAATATTTCAATTTGCAGCTGCAGGTGACATAATGCAATGCATGTGGTGGTCTCAGATGCAGCTTGGCACTTTGCCCTGCCCTCAATTGAGTTATTTTTCAGCAATTTTATTTCTGTACAACTCAGATTTTAACCCTGAATTATCCTAATTTCATGGAGGCCAAGTACACAAGGAACCAGTTCAAATTCTTTCAATTGTCAATTGCTTTAATAAAACTCATTAAGAAAAATGTAATAGCATTAAGGAGCTTAGAATTTCGTTGCTTTCCTAAACTCTGGATTCCTCAGAATCAGAAACATTTCCAATGTGAGTCCCATGACTTTATAACCTAAAACTTTCCTAGAGACAACACTGAAATTCCAGGAGTTACATGTACAAAGTTGTTTTAATCATTTTAATCACCACCAACACAATTTATACTCAGTGGCTTCATAAATTTGTTTAAAACACTTCCATTAAGAAATTTCATTAAAAGTCAGCTACAATGTATCAGATCTTTGTAACAAACAGTGAATATCTTGAACAGTCTTAATAAAGAATGAATCACTGTATAAGTACCTATCATTAATTTATCATGGTGCAAAAATGAAAGAGTTCCAATGTACCTGCGGTGCACATATTTTTTTCTGAAAATGTTACTTGAAGACAGCGTACATTAAACTATAATCCCTGACAACAGGAATTAACAGCAGAAGCTTTTTGCACTTATATTACTTTCTCAACAGAAATTAAAAATATGCTGGGAATTAGTTCTTTTTGAAATTTGGTAAAGGGTCATTTATTTTTTAGGCCTTGTTGAAGCCAACAATGTAAGGTATCTCATTCATTCATTCATATCTTTACTTCCTCATAAATGAGATTCAATGAACATATAATTAATGAATATAAGTAAACGTCATAATCACACACAAAATATTAGTATAAGAGCAAAAAATAATAAAGTAAATACACAAAAGATAAATGACTGTTTATACAAGCAATATTTGAAATACTGATGCAATGACACATTGTATATTGTTTAAAATTTTCTTTGTATTTCTTCGTCATAATTTGTCAAAGGTGAAATTAATTAACGGCCCTAGAACATTTTCCTGAAGTTTTGCAAAAATCAATGTTTAATTATAAATAATAATATATACTGACTGTGGTCCTCTTTCACCCGACTCATTATAATAGTTAAAATAGAGGAACAATAGTACACGGTTAAAGAGTACCAGAAGTCAGAGGACAGTATCTGGATGATTCGTTCCAACCAATTCATCCCAAGTAGCTTGGTCAATTTATTTTTTTATTTCTTTTTATAGAAAAGTGTTTATAATTAACCTTATGAACTATTAACTTAAATAACCTTTTTGCGTTTATTTCTTATGCTGTACATATATAATATATATAAATAATTATTTTCTTGGAATGATATATTGACAGTATTTACTTAAGTAAATATTTCATGACAATATAAAAAAAATGCTACTAACCAATTCTATTTTCAAAGAAATCATTATTTTATTATAATTGCTAATTATATTTTAATACATGTGCATAAAAGTCTTTTATGCATTCATCAAAAGGATATACCCTTACTCAGCTTGGGTCATAAATGCTCCAATAAAGTAACTCCAAAGAAAGATAGAAAACAAAAGAATTAAGAGTATTGGCTTGGAGGTGTTGATTTCTTAAACCTACATTCAAATAGGTCAACTTCTTAAAAAAATAATGAAAATTTAATTTTGAAACTGAAATAATATAAAAGGCCCCAAATTCCCATTTATTTTTACATTCCATCATGGACTCTATGTGTGTTGTTTGCCATCATTTTGTTCGAGTTTGACAATTATCTGTGAAATGTTAATGTACTTTGTTATATGCATATGTTCATATATATCTTTATGTGCCAATGCTATGCATATCAAATAAAATTGTAATCACCAAACTTAGTTTTAATTGTCTCAAATTATCATACAGGTTGACACCAGGAATAAACAAAGAAAACCCCCTCCAAATGTTACTAAAATAAACAAATATACTTCACACAATTCTGCATTTTTTCAACTTATTGTTTGTTACATAAATCCAACCATAAATGCTTCCAAAATAATTTATGATTGAAAAACACACTTTTATTTGAAATATCCAGCAAAAAATGTAGGCGAAATTACTTTTGCCATGCATTGTACACTGATCTATAAAAAAAACATTAATATACAGACACATTTACATTAAAAAAAAGTTGGAACAAATTATGAACAAAATCAGTTGGAATTAACCACGACTTGGGAGAATTTTTTTACCAGCATTCCAGAGGACTCACTCGAATACATTCTAGTGAGAACACTGTATATGTGCATGAGTAGAAACAAAACAGCAAATGTGATCTTTGTAATGAATGTCATTAATAGTTTTTATTTTTGAATTTTGTGTATTTACTGTGTACACCGGAAGTTATAATAAGCACGTGTTTTTTTTTTATGTCGGGTCCATAAACTTATTTAAAATTTGTCACCCGATACTATAAGAGACCGTTACGTCAAGCATCAAACTAAGCATGTTGAGTTATTAATATAATTAAAATGACAATAATGACGACTTAATGTTTAAACTGATAGTATTAAGGGAATAAATGGCGATACAAACAAAAGAAACATCCATTCTGCACATGGCCAGTCAAAGCAATAGCCGATGCAGTTGAACTGTGGACAATTGGAGCATTCAAATTGCACTAAACGCGGACCATATACAGAAGATTTGCTCTGGAATAACCAATTTCATTACCTGCTTGTTCATCTGCAGCTTCGTGGTTGTTTTTTCCCTCCGGCTTGGTGACTTTAGCAGGAGTCGCCATTTTGCTTGCTTTCAAAAGATTGCGCATGTGCGGTTTATGACGGAAGTCGATGTGCGCGCCAAAACCTTGAAGTATATGATAACATACATTTATTATGCAGAAAATATTGTTTGAACTAAATGTCATTTTAAACTCATTTAGTGAAGGTTATAAATAAAAAATGTAATTCATAAAATAAATGCACATGGAATAAGGGTTGTGTATCTTTTTGTTGTAATTAAATTTATCTGTTGTTTTGTACTTTTACGAAGTTATCGAAATAATTTAAGAAACGAACACTTATAGAGTAGTGCAAGAAGGGTTGGCAAAGTATTACCCGGGCGGGAAAAACCCAGCCGGGATTTCCCGGGCTGGGCAATACTCCCAGAAACGGGTAATACTGGGCAATACTGGGTAATACGATTTTTCAAATTTATTTTTACACAAAATAGTAAAGACTTGTTGTAGTTTAATAGTATTTTAGCAAAATAACTACATTCTATACAGATAAATATTGAGAGTCATTCCTGAAGACTGAAAATTCAATTTCCTCCTTTTCTTCACTAGTTCTATGTAACGTTAGGCAGAATACAAGTTTTGCACATTTCAGGATACCTTGTTAATTTCCAAGCTTTGTTTCAATAATCCAATTTGAAACTTTGAAAACTTGTTTGCATTTAATTGCAGTGTTTAAGTGAATTGTAGATTTTAATTGTCATACAATCATATTGCTAAATAAACACTCTAAGGGGACAGTCCATAAACACTCATAGAAATCAAAAGGCTGATTGTTGTTATATAAACAAATCTGTGTTATAATCTGAATGATTACTTATTAACTAGTGATGTACATATACATTATATATATTACACACAACAACACATCATTAATAAAAAAAATTGGGAAAATAATTCATAATTGGTGATTTTATGTACCATGGTGAAAAAACTGGTATACCAAAGCATATGTATATATATGCTAAAACTAACATTTTTAAATAATGAAAAAAAATTAATATAATTGTTAATTCTTAATACAAGTTATATTTATTTAAAAAAAAAACATAATTGAATTCTTCAACTTTAAGTCAACACTTTGAACCAATCTAGACAGAGTGTTGATTAAATAGATTTTTAGGAGGATTATTAAGAAAAGCTTTTCACATTTGTCTTATGTTTCTTCATGTACACTTGTCCTAGAGACGCTGGACAATTGATATTTTCTCAGATTTATACACTTCATATTAAGAGTCTCAAACAAGTGAACTTATAAATTAGAATACTATATCTTATTTTTATAAAAATCTTTTAATTTATTGTATCTTTAAAATTCAGGCCAGTATTTCATATTACCCAGTATTGCCCAGTATTACCCGGGTTTTCCCAGTATTTCCCACTGGGTTGGGCAATACTCATAAAACCCGGGTTTTTGCCAACCCTGAGTGCAAGTAGTTCGATCCCATCATGCCTTATTTTTCGACCGATAACGATTGACGCCAAGCGATAGACATCATTAAATTCAAAACGCTGTAATATGTCTTTCTTATAAGAGGGCTACTCTAAGCTTAAGTCTCTTCCACATAATGGATTAATAAAAATTCTGACAAATTAATCGACATTTGATTTTCTTGAAGATGTACTTACCATTCTTACTGTAGACAATCTCGAGTCTTGTGAACATGTTAAATGACTTCAGCATAAAAAAGCTTATAGTAACAGTCAATTATTTTATTTCTGTTGTTCGTTCATTCAGGAATAGATTACCTTAGCTGTATTTGGCAAAACTTTTAGGAATTTTTGGTCATCAATGCTCTTCAAATTCGTACTTAATTTGGCCTTTTTAACTTTTTTTGATTCGAGCGTCACTGATGAGTCTTTTGTAGACGAAACGCGCGTCTGGCGCAAATACAAAATTTCCATCCTGGTATCTATGATGAGTTTATTTCTAGACATAAGTGTATTATTTGGTTCGAAATGGGGAAAAAAAGGAAACTAAAATATACGACAAAAGTCACTAGACCATTTCAACTTTGCTATCACAAACTTTCCCTTTCAGACGGCGTTGTTCCATTTGCGGTATCCTATTGTACGTAAATTTAACAACTTGTATGGTTTGCTAGACTATATTTTCTGATGACTGCATGAAGCTGATTTTAATGAACTTATCCGCATTAACACAAAATCTACTTTAATAAAATTACAGGGTTGAGATAATACATTCCAAAAGGTTTTCAGTCGGTATATTAGCGTCTCATCTGTAAATATTATGTTTCTCGTAAAAATAATACTATTAGACGGTTTTCTCATCCTAACTTTGCAGTATTGAAATGACGTTTAATAGTAGAACTTAATATGATCTTAAAAAATATATATATTCAAATTTCTTAAAAGTACTTCAGGTTAGATTGATAGACTCACGAATGCAGTAAAAAAAAGGTCCATTTCTCCGATGATCGGACGATCATAAATACTTACTAGCCTCTCATAAATACTGCCGAGGCCGCCACTTAAAATTTATGATGAAAAAAAATTAATTCATTAAACCGGTTACTGTAGGCCTAGGAGTTGTTTCTGTTTTCTCTCTATGGAACGTCAGTATGCAACCAACATCTGTGGCTACCTTAGCTGGCTCCCGTGTTATAAGCGAGCACATTTTGACCCTGCTTTCCAAATATGTGCTCTTTTTATTTCTTTGTTCAAGTTAGTGGTCATCCTGTTGGTAACTGAATTGAGTAGGTTTTTATTGAGTGTTTTTGTTTTACGCCGTGACATATTATCTATAGAGGGGACGGTTTATGTGCACGTTAAACAGGTTTAACACCATCTCACGTTGTGTCTGTAATATTTTATATCTCGATCAATGTTTTTTCTCTCTTGGAGGAGTCGGATGGTGATGGTTGATGCACTGCGTTGTTCTACACAATATTTTTTGCGATTTCTATGATCACTTTTTAATATTATTTTTTTTTGTATTATTGATATTGATGACATATGTTTGTGGGTCTCTGTTATTTTAAACTTATGAACAACTTTTCTAGACTAGGAACGAATTAGAATTCAGGGAATGGTGTAGAGGGCGTTCACCCTCCCCAATAATTTTTTGATAAAAAAAAAACAAAACAAAACATCTAGGGTTCTCAACACAGACGTGCAGCACATGTTGAAGTTTTGTGAAAATCATAACCCATTCATATATTTCTCAGTCATCACATATACAAATTTTGACATCTAAATATGTCACTTATGTAACTGTGTGTCTGAATGTTCGACGAATTATTTTTATTAACGAAATCACAGATATCTTAATATATATGGGTTACATTAGAGAAACTTTTTTTTTATTGAGGAAACTTAACGATAGAATTGGTTAAAATTCAATGAGAGAATTGCTTTTCATAAATACTTCCGAAATATCAAATAAAAATACGGGTTCACGGGCTTTACTTTCTGGAAAAATCATAAAAACACAAATTGTCCTATCAAATTCAGTATAATTATCTGCCCTTGATTTTAAAAGGATTTTTCTGAAATTTTTTAATACACTTAACGGCAATTATTTTTTTGATAGTTTTATCCTTAAATTTCAAAGTGCTAGATGTTTCTAGCTGTTATATATTGAATGATACCTGGTAAAGTATTTTTAAACCAAAAAAAGTATTTATGCAACACGCCCAGAAGTGATGCTCAGAAAAAGACATTCATTGATTCAATCTACCTTAAAAGGATGAAGCAGTAACATCGTACATATACATGTACAGATATCTAATCGAAAGATGAATATTACTGACCAATTTACATATTACATTGGTGAAATTGCAATCCACTGCTATATTTGACATATAAAAAGGGACCCACGTCTGTGTATACCTTCATATAGGAAGGGACCTCCCCGTGAAAAAAAATGTTTTGCTTAAAATCGTATTTTTACACTTTCTGACAATTACACCCCCAATTTCCTAGGACCCTGGATCAGTCCCTTAGAGCTTGCTATATTGCATAAATATATATATATAGACTTATAAAACTAAGAAGATGTGGTATGATTGCCAATGAGACAACTCTCCACTAGAGACCAAATGACATAGAAGTTAACAACTATATAGGTCATCGTACGACCTTCAACAATGAGCAAAACCCATAGCACAAAATACCCAGTCTATTATTGAAAGTCGTATATTGCTTACTATATTTCTATTATACTTTTGTGTTTTTGTGTTGACGGTTTGCTGTCTCATTGACGTATACCCACTTATTACATACTGGAAACATCTCGAAAGTTGACAAAGATTATAAACAGTTCAATCAGTTCATAAATTATCCAAGTTACTGGATTTCGTCGAATCCTTGCATTCACATGAATGATTGAGGAATAAACTATAAAAGGCATGCAGATGAATCTTGATTTATCTTATATGATCCAAATTTTGGTTTTTGCCATTTCTTTAAATAAAATAGATTATGAGAATGAGATATGTGTGTTCTAAAAATAAAGGTAAACAAAAAGAAAGAAAAAAGAAAAAAGAAAGATATAAACAATATTCGAACAGGTACCTTTCAAAGTAATAATTGAAGTTTACCGTATTACGGTAATGACTTTTATTGTCTGCGTTATCATGGCTTGCAACAAACAGTATGCTGTAAAATTATTGCTGGTTTGAATTACATTTCCTAGGTTTGAAAAAGTCTTGAATATTGTAAACTTTATTATCACGGTGTAAGTGTTTAGAAAATAACCCTGTCTTTTTATGGACTTCGATGCAATTTTTCCTACAAGCATGCGTACTGCACAAGTTGAACTAATCATCTTTTTTTTGAAATCGTTAGTTGATGTGTTCCAAAATCCTTATCATTCTTCATCCCTTTACTTGTTACATCAATGAATATATATACGTATATTTATGAATGAATGTATTATGAGTTATACGTCAATGAGACAACAACCAAACTAATGGATGAGCATTGTAGTAAGATCGTTGAACAGGGGTATCTTTTAGCTAGCTATAAAACCAGGTTTAATCCGCCATTTTCTACACAAGGAAATGCATGTACCAAGTCA